GTAGAAAGGACCTTTGGGGTCATCTAGGCCGATCCCTCATTTCAGAGATGAGGAAACTGAGGCCCAGAGAGATGAAGCAATTGGAGCAGAGGTGAGAGGTGGACCTACGTCTTCTGATGCCAGAATCCATGCTCTTCTCATTGAATCAGACTGCCTGCTTTGAGTATTCTGTGATTCAAAGACCCCCTAGGACCTTTTGCCATTTTCCCTGTACTTTGGGGGGGATGAAATGTACATAGTGGGAGGGGTCTGATCTTAAAATATTGAGTTAAAATTGGTGATAACTTCTTTTACACTAACTTCTAAATAAATTCCTTGCCTTTATAACATTTTTCTACCATATTTTTTCTGCCACATTTATCTATATACACACCCTCATGAGACTTTAAAATGTCAGAGTCCTCTTTGTACATTATTTGGAAGAAACGGGAGATGAGCAGATTTGGAGAATCCACCTCAAATGTTCACATGGACTATTTGTGCCTGACCTGTTGTAGAACATTCCAAGCTCATATTGGTCTGACCAGCCAGAGTCAGATACACTGTAATTTGACTCTAGCATGGTGCTGTCATTTTGGTCCTCTTTGAGAGCAAAGGACAACAACTGTCCACCACTGTCATATGTGTACACACACACACACACACACACACACACACACACACACACATATACCCACATACACATACACACATATGTATGTATTGTCTATGGATACACATGTATTATATGTGTGCATATTATTATATTGTGATATTATATTATATATTATTAATACTATAATCTTTATATATTATTTGAAAACAAAGCACATAGACAAATTCCAGGGCCCCTCAAAACAAAAAAAGGGGGTGATGGGGGAGCTTGGCAAGAGGAAAAAAACAATTCCAAATGGAGCCATGAATTTCTACCAGTGGGTGGCCCAGACAGTGGCTTGGAGCTAGAGGCGTCCCTGGGCTCATCAGTAGGGCAGAAGTCCAAAGAAAGGTAGTTTCTGATCCCATTACAGTGGGGGAAATAGGTACCTTAATGAATTTTCTCCTAGAAACATTTTATACGTTATAGTGAGTACTATAGTACTATACAATAGTATCAAACTCAAGGAATGTTACACATGAAATAAATTTTCATTTGGGAGTGAGAATGTATTTAGAGTTCCCAACCACTGACTTACAAACCTTTGGAACATAACCCATTGGCAAGCTGAGGGCTTCCCTGAAGTAGGAGGCTTCAAATTTCTGTTATATATAGGTATCTCTTTGGTCCTAAATATCCCATTTTTGCCTTCTGCTTTATCAGGTTCAAACCAGAGGAAACTATGTGAGGTATTTTGAACACAGATAAGAATTCCATATTAAAAGAGCCATGTGAGAATAGGGACAATTGAACCATTAAACTGACAAAAAGCATACTTTAAAAAAAAGTGTAATTTAATCACCTGAGTATGGGAGCTGCTAAGAAGCAAGAGACTTGAGTTTTCTGACAGTCTTCCAAAATCAGCAGATCTGTCAGCCTAAAGTGTGGGGGAATTCCAGTCTGGGAGAAAAAGCGACCCACCAGAAATCACCACCTCTGGTGCCTGGTCACGTTGCCCATCTCCTGCTGACTTCCTTGTCTCCTGCAAGTCTGTATCATTCTGGAAAGAAAGGCTAGAACTAACCACTACTTAGCAACCAATTAAACCAGTATGAGAAATAACAAGAATCCAGCACAGTTTGATTTATTGGTCTAGAGATACAGTGAGTTTTTCTGGGACAGTGTAGTCTTCCAATAGTAGCAGGATATTATAGGTTCATAGATTAAGAGCTTGAAGGGACTTAGAAGTCAATAAGCCCAACCCCATATTCTTTTTTTTTATGACAGTGGGCATTCTTGTTTCTTTTCCCCTCACTTACTAGTATTTTATTTTTTCCAATTACATATAAAGATAGTTTTCACATCCATTTCTTTTTTTGGTGAGGCAATCAGAGATAAATGACTTTCTCAGGGTCACACAGTTAGTATCAAATACCTGAGGCCAGATTTGAACTCAGATTTTCCTGACTCTAGGGCTGGTGCTCTATCTGCTGTGCCACCTAGCTGCCCCTAACATTCACTTTTATAAGATTTTGAGTTCCAATTTTTTTTTCTCCCTCTCTCCCACCTCTTCCCCCTCCCAAAGATGGCAAGCAATCTGATGTAGGCTATACATGTATAATCATATTAAACACATTTACACATTAGTCATGTTGTGAAAGAAGAGCAAAAAGAAAAATCATGAGAAAGAAAAAAAAAGACATAATATTATGCTTTGATCTGCATTCAGACTCCATAGTTCTTTCTCTGGATGTGGGTAGCACTTTCCATCATGAGTCTTTTGGAATTGCCTTGGATCATTATATTACTGAGAAGAGCTAAGTCTATCAAAGTTGATCATTGCACAATATTGCTGTTATGGTGTACATTGTTCTCCTGGTTCTGCTCACTTCACTCAGCATCAGTCCATACAAGTCTTTCCAGGCTTTTCCGAAGTCTGCCTGCTCATCATTTCTCGTAGCACAATAGTATTCCATTATATTCATATGCCACAACTTGTTCAGCCATTCCCCAATTCATGGGCATTCCCTTATTTTCCAATTCTTTGCCACCACAAAAACAGCTGCTATAAATATTTTTGCACATGTGGGTCCTTTTCCCTTTTTTATGATCTCGTTGGGATACAGACCTAGTAGTGGTATGGCTGGATCAAAGCTTATCATAGTTTAATAGTCCTTTGGGCATAGCTCCAAATTTTTCTCCAGAATGGTTGGATCAGTTCACAACTCCAATAACAAGGCATTAGTGTTCCAATTTTCTCACATCTTCTCCAACATTTATCATTTTCCTTTTTTGTCATATTAGCCAATCTGATAGGTGTGAGATGGTACCTCAGAGTTGTTTTAATTCTCATTTCTCTAATCAAAACTGATTGAGAGCACTTCTTCATAGGCACATAAATAACTTTGATTTCTTCATCTGAAAACTGCCTGTTCATATCCTTTGACCATTTATCAGTTGGGAAATGATTTGCTGTGTTATAAATTTGACTCCATTCTTTATGTATTTTAAAAATGAGGCCTTTATCAGAAACACTGGCAGTGAAAATTGTTTCCCAGACTTCTGCTTTCCTTCTAATCTTGGTTGCATTGGCTTTGTTTGTGCAAAACTTTTTTAATTTAGTAAAATAAAAAATTATCCAGTTTGCATTTCATAATGTTTTCTATCTCTTGTTTTATCATAAATTCTTCCCTCTTTCATAGATCTGACAGGTAAACCATTTCTTGCTCTTCTAATTTGCTTATCGTGTCACTATGTCTAAATCATAAATCATGTATCCAATTTGACCTTATCTTGGTATATGATGTAAGATCCAACCCCATATTCTTACAGATGAGGAAACTGAGGCCCAGAGAGATGAAATGATTTACCCAAAGTCACATGTGGCAGGGCTGGGGTTCAGACTCAAGTCTTTTTACTCTAATTCAGCATTGTTTCTCTTAATTCACACATCTTGCCGTATCACCTATTCATTCACAGGTGGTACAGTCAGTAGAGTGTCAGATCTGGAGTCAGAAAGATCTGAGTTCAAATTCAGCCGCCGATACGTACTAATTGTGTGACCCTGGGCAAGTCACTTAACTTCCATCTGCCTCAGTATCTTAGTGTTCCAATACTTAGTGTTTCATACTACCTCAGTATCTTTATATGTAAAATGGAGATAACAATAGTACCTACCTATTGGGTTCTTATGAGGAAAAATGAGATAATATTTGTAAAGTGCTTTACAAACTTTAAAGTACTATATAAATGCTATTATTATTATTATTTTATTATTATTACTGTCACACAATTATTATGATCAGTCTAAATTGATTGCTACTGCCATGCACTCCTCTTCATGAATTAGGGGGGGTATGATTAGAATTGTGACAGAACATGCTAGTTATTCATTGTACATTGATCATGTGTAAATTAATCTACTTTTCTTTTTAAATCTACTTACTAACCAAGGCGTCCATGTATCATAGAATGTTACTGATAGGGCAAATCCAATATTTCTTACAGCTCTGGGTTCCCCTCTCCATGAAATGGTGTGATCCCATACCCCCACCCCATATCCATGACCTTCCTTTATCCTAGGAAGTTGGAGCCTCGCTGTTAACTCACTTTGGACATGGATAATCCTTCTCTAGATTCCTATAGATCCTACTTAGAGCCTCCATGAATCACCAGAACTACCTTTACAATAGGATAATAGGTGCCTGGGCCCTTTCTGTTTATAAAAGCCAGAGACAGGGACTGGATCTATGTTTCCTGGGGTGAAGAGCTCTTGGTGAGTCATTTCCTCTGCCACTGGGGTTATGTACTTTTTCTGACATTTATAGTCTTCGAGGCCTGCCTCAAGCCCTGAGAAGTTAAACCTAGAGTCAAGTCACATAGGATTTGTGTTTCAGAGGCCAAACTTGAACCCAGGAGAGAGAGAGAGAGAGAGAGAGAGAGAGAGAGAGAGAGAGAGAGA